TGAGAAAAAAGAAGAAGCAAGGACAGGAAGACCAGTTAAAAAATAAAATCACTTTGTCCTGACTATGTATTATATTATTCTGGTGTCTTATTTCAAAATCAGTCAAATTGTATGTGTATTAAATGGCACAAGTACATGTAAGTTACCCACACATATCTATGTGTGTATGCATTACATCCACATGCAGCCACCCAACATATGAACAGATAATCAGCTCTTTTATATTGTCTTTATGTGATCATGACTCTCTACAATTTCCTGTCCTTCGTAGCTCTTAATAAATTGCCTTTTTGTTATTTCTTCTAAATCTTGTTCCACCATCCATGTACACTAAATAGGTTATGTATTGTTTTCCTCTGTCCCTCTTGCTTTCATTCTGTCCTGTGAGTATAAGATTTTCAAAGCCCTTTTTCCTCATTATGTGCCCTAGAAATTTCAACTGTCTGTTTCTGATGTTAAGTATAAGTTTCTGTTTTGTTCCCATTCTCTCTAAAACTTCCTCATTGCTCACATGTTTGGTCCATGGTATTAGCAGCATCCCAAGTTTTTTTTTAATTATATTAAATAAAAAAATAAAATGACGTTATTTTTTTATATAAAACTGAATAAACTATCAACTTTTCAAAGCGTAACAAAATCACAAATAAAGGTAAAAAAAATTAGGCTAGATTAATTTCCATTTAGAACAAAAGTTTGGAGGGAAAAGGATAGTCATCAACCCCTTTGGAATGAAGTGGAAATACTGGATAGTGTGAAACACTGGAGATTTAGATGTCTGAAAGAATCAGTCCACATGCTTAGGCTATGAAGATCCCCTTAGTAGGCCTAGCATAGAAAAAGAAACAATATGAGAGTCACTAATAAAGAAAGAAAAACAAGTGACAGCAGGTCTTTAGCAGCAGCTGTAACAAAAAAGAAGCTTCAGTGAGTGCAGTCAAATGCGACAAGCAGCAGCACTCATCAGTGGGCAGGTTAGGTTTAAGGCTCCAAATCCTCTTCACAATATTGTGCCATGGGTCAATAGCCTAGTGGATTAAAGTGTTGGTTTGGAAATTTTTGAGTTCAATCCCTGGGATTAACAGTGTGAACTCAGTAGAAATGGGACAAGCAATAACTGAGTAGTACAAAATAAGAACTAGACAAGATATCCCAAGACATGGGAACAAGGACAATCTACCTCTGTAGATTAAATAAAGAGTTCAGTTCAAAATCAATGTAATTGACCCAGATAGGCATGCACCTAATGAAGGCCAGAAGATACAATGGCTGAAATGTAATGTGATAACAACAATAAAGATGAGGACAATGTAAATAATTTGTTTTTTTGTATTCTAATAATCAACATTAGATTTTCAATTGATATTTTCTTAGATAAATTTCATCTTATCTGAAAGTTGGGTTGGATTTTTAGGGCTTATTGTCTCTACCTATTTGCAATGTACATAAACATTACTTGAAAGGACTGCACATTTTGGCTTACAAGTCTTTTCCTGTTACCCCAGACAGAAAAAGGGAAATTACACAGATATTGCTTTCAATTTTCATTCAGTTGTTTTTGTGAGCATGTCTATTTTGAATTTAAGACAGACATAAATTTCTATAAAATTAAACAAAAAAAACAACTTTATTACTGAATAATTTCTGAAAAGTTCAATAAAATCTTATAATTATCATTTTTTTTTTAGACTTGAAAAATTTATTGTCTCCAACTTTGATTTTATTGCTCAGTCCAGGGTATGAATTATCTAGATGGAGTGGGAGGTTATATTATTCCAATGTTTGATTTCAAGCTCAGTCAAGTTTGTTGTGTGTGTGTGTGTGTATACTTCTGTATAGATTAAATTTCACATGTAAGTCCTTAATGCACAATACTAACATACACGTAGATTACATATACACAGTCATACAGACAACCCCAAGCCCATAATTAGCTTTTCTTCTATAATATAGATTTGAATATTGAAGATGTTATAAGTACAGCGCTAATGAGAAGAAAAAAATATTTTTATCGTCCACATTTTAAAAAAAAGCTAATGGGGAGAAACATTTTAATTCTTTATATTGAAATAAGCTTTCTGGTTTCTAGTTATAAGTATCTACTGAGAGTTCTTGGCCTTTCCAACTTCCAAAAAAACAAAACATCAGCATTCTTATTTTTATACCTCTTAATTAAGCCGAGAAAATTTTTATATTGTCCATTCTTGTGTAATTTTGATTAATCTTGCTTCTCTGGCTTCACAAAACTGGTGGCCTTAAAAAGCTTTTAGCTATTTGTCATTAAACAATTTTTAAAAGAACAATCATAGGTGATGAAAAATGGAATGTTTACAACAATGTGAAGTGGAAAAAGTTCTTGATGAAATGAAAAGAACCACTGTTAACCTCTCTAAAGTTAGTCTTCATACAAAAAGGGTGATGCTATTTATCTGGTGAGATTGTAAGTGCATTGTAATAAGATTTTCAAATAACCAGTTTATATTCCATATATCCCTTTCATGTTAGAAATAGGTTTCCTTGGTTAAATAGTTTATTGGATTAAAATTAAAGTTTAACTTTGTAATCAATTTTGTTCTGTGTCTGACATCTCAATACTTTAATGATCAGTATGTTTGCAAAACTATTTTAAAATGAGTAGTTAATGAAATAATGTCATTTATTTACAACAGTGCACAATGAACTTTCAATGGATTGTATGGTATTTCTTTTATAAAAGCTTTTATAAAAGCTTTCTAACAAACTGAATTCATTGCAAGGGTGAAGCATGTCAACCAGTTTTGATTAAAATGTTGCTATTCATGTTAATTAAAAAAAATTTTCCAAGCTTGTTTTTCTTCATGCAACAGTGATAAATAAGTTATTTAAACTGTTACCATTGATCTACATATCCAGTCATTTGAAAACTAATTATTTTCTTTGTTGTTCATTCCTATTTTACGCACAAACTTCTTCTATCCTAAATTGCTTTCTATTTGGAATTACATATTAAGAATTTTTTTTTCTTTTTAAACATTTAAATACCAAGAAATATTCTAAAACTAATACTTTTGCATTTTACATGTGGTCTTGTTAGTTACAAAAGAATTCAGTGTCTATTGTGAGCAACATGGCAGATGTTTTTGCTGACTGAACCATGCCTTATTTCACTGTCTCTATCCTCATTACAGCTTTTCAATATTGGGAAAGTAAATCAGGTTGAGAACTTTTTAACACCCCCTCATCCATGTACATTTATTATTCACTAGCCGAATTACCCATGCCTTGGTGCGGGTCACTTTTTTTTTTTGTAAGAAAATGAGGATTGATTTTAAATTATTGTCATAATTTATGGAGAAAAATGATGCATTTCAATATTACTCAATGATCTTGCTGATGTGATCTCTATCTTTTGGCTTTCTCCTTCTTTTTGGATAGGAGTCATTCCCTTGTTCAAATTTAAATTTAATTTATATCAAAGGGAAAAACAATTCAGTGGGAGGTTTGTGCCCCACCACAGACCACCTTTAATCAAAAAGGAATATGCTTATCCAAGTACCCTGGGTAATGTAGTTTCAGAATATATATTGTCATGGGGGGTCTCCAAAAACCAAGTAGTTTGATAACAGACAGACAGAGGCTATGATTTATTCAGTTAGCACATTTTGCACCACTGTTGTCACAATTGTGGTTCATGGTGACATTCAAGGCAGAATAATGCAATGGCTTGCCGGTTCCTTTTACACCAGGGATGTTGAGCTTACCCCATCACTCCTCTCAGAAATTAAAAAGGCAAGACCAAGGCAGCAGGTGGTTTGAATTCAGAGTCTTTATTCTCTTAGACCTCGCAATATATAGAGGTCATGCACTACGCAGACTACATGCACTTTCCTCTCGGTTGCACCAACAAGATCTAAAGGATTACACTGTGGATGGCTTGGCTGAAGGAGTTGCAAGTTGTTAGTGTTGACATCTATCTTCAGGGTTCCACTCTGGGTTTTCTGTTTGGATTTACTTCCATAGCTTTTTCCATGTTTGGGATATGACTGAAAGGCAGCAGAAGTTTAAAATCAGGGTTTTCCTTCCCCCCTAGGTGGGCTGTCTTCCTGTGCTGTCGAGTTCCATCTACCCAACGCAGCTGGTTATGAGGCACCAGTTTTCCACCTTGCCCATTCTCTGGCTTGAAGCTGGACTTAGTTGTCAGAGGCTATTTGAGATGAATGCCATGGAATATTTTACAGACAGTAGATGTCTCTACTATCACCCCACCAATAGCTATGACAACCTTTGTAACATAATGTACGTATATAAACATTTATATACATTATTTTAGAAGCTCAAAAAAAAAAAAAAAAAATTAAGCTTTTTAAATATATAAAACACAAATATCAAAAAGCTTATTAATTTTAGAGAAAGATAGTAGAAATATATCAGGATTTAAGCCTAAAATACTCAGAGATTATGAAATCATTATTTAACATACAATAAAATAATTTACAGTCTTTATGTGAGTAGAAAATACTAAGTAGATAAATATAACTTTAGGTAAGCAAAAACAAAGTAAAAATAAGATGATATTCAGGTTAGTTGTACAAAAACAAATAAATACTAATACAGAAAAAAACATAACTGGAAAAATTGAAAGAAATAATGATAATACATACATTAATTTCAATTAAATATACTAATTATAATATATATATAATAAATGAAATAAATAACAACTACAAATTATATTAAATTACTATATTTAAAAAAAAAAAAAAAAAAAAATCAATATTTACATTTTCCAGTTAAACTTAAAATTCATTAATATTTTTGAGCTTTGACAAAATGCATCATCTTTCCTTAAGTTCAGAATGCCTATTCTTTATACTGGATTTAAATAGGTAAGAAGACTGGGAAAAATAGAACCTTCAGTGAGTGCAGGCAAGCATCTAAATAATGAAAACTCTTTATCCCAGAAATTCAGACAGAAAAACAAAAAATTATTATATCACTCAGGATGACTCAATATAGAGCTCCAGTTAGTCTAGCAACTCTATTGTACACTGGGTATCCGATATGCCAAAACTATGTTGAGTAAATATTCTGTCATGGCTTAGTGTACTGATCATTCTAATAAAAGAATTAATTTTTTTGCCAAACCTCATGTCCTTAGATCAATTTTATCATGAAATAAATGTAAAAATTTACAAGTATTAGATACTAGTATCTAGATGTGAAGAAAGAATGACAGCAAAATGTTTCTTAACCTATATTAATTAATATTTTAGTGAAAATGGTTTCTGCCACTTGACACTAAAACATCCTGTTTGAAGAACAATGTGATCATACAGGTTATGATGCATCTCCACAATATTTATTAAATGTTTAAATATTTATCTATTTTTACATTTAATAATACAAGCATCAAATATGATGAAACAAAATCAAATCAACCATTTTAGCAACAAGATATTAATGAAAACAATGTTTTATTCTTTCAAATATAGAAAAGTAATACAGAATGTTTTAAAAGTCATAAATCACAGATGAATCTAGATTTTTTTAAATTTTCTTTTTAAGCAAAAGAAAGAAAATTTATATGAGGAAATGCTGAAAAGTTCTAGACCAATAGCCCTTCAACAAGAACAAAAATCTGCTGTTTGAACATTCAGCCAGATTTTGAATAAGGGATCAGGCTCAAGAACCTTTCAGCACCCCCTTGTATATGTCAGTATACATGTAATTTTCATACAAGCTTTGTAAATGGGCAAAGATCTTAATGAGTTCTATTTTCATGAAAAAATTAGCATGAAATCAAAATAGCATCAACATTGTTTTGTGTGTTCTTTTTCTCTTTATCATCAATTGCCAAGGAACACAAGAAATTAAAATAAAGGAGTTTTACAAACAAGAAAAAATAGTGCAATACTTGTACAATTCTTTTCAACACAAATGATAGAAAAGTATTTTTGTGAAAAGGTATGTCAACTCTATCTTACAGCTTTGCCAACAAGTAATTTTTGTTTTAAGTGCTGTACTGAAAAAGCCAGAAAAGTTAAAGTTTACCAATGTTTACTTTTCTTGCACAGCATTTATAAAATGTGCTGTTTCAAGAAAAACATAAAAAAATTAACCATCAGATATTTTTCAGATGCATTCAGTCATCTTTGTTATACCAAATCCATGTCAAGAAACCAAGTGAATAATTTAATAATTAACCAAAAAAATTACAATTTACCAATGTTTATTTCAAATAGTGATTTCCAAACCAAACAAAAACTGAACAGAAAAATGAAAATTTCCAAAAATATGCTTAAGATTTATTACTTGAACTTTCTGTTACTAAAAACTTATTTTTATAAGTTTCCAAAATAAAAAAATAATTAACACAAAAGAAATGTTCAAAATTTTTAAATGTACATCTCACTCAACTATTCAGGCATTGAAAACTAAGAATATTGGTCATTTTTTTTTACAGAAATAAAGACTAAATAAAAAAAAATATACAATCAATACAGATGCACACTTACGTTTTTAACCTGATTTGACTGGAGACATCCATTCTTCAAGTATACAATGATGCATTGTGCACCAAGCAACCCTCTTCCAAATCTTCTACAAAAGTGTATACATTATCAAACATTGATATACTCTCAAATATATACAATAAAAAAGTAGTTATTTAAATCTTCATATTTTTATTTTAATACTTAAGCATGAAATTAAAACAAAAATACAAGTTTTAATAGTATCATGTTAATCTTTAACAAGCTATCATATTAACTTTTAACATAAGAATTACAAATGAGTAATAGTTTTTTTTTTAGTTTTTTTTATATTTATTCTAATAAAGAAATCAAATTTCTAAAGAGTTAAGCAATTTAAATTTGATTTTACATTTTGATATTTTTAACTTTAAATATTAATTTTAAAATTTCTGAACTTGTCTAAATTTCAAATGGAATTTTCTCATTTTTTTTTAAAATTTACTAAAATCAACAAATGATAAATTTAAAACAGTAATTTTTTGCCAAAAATAAAACTGCAATACTAGTGTATAAATTTTGAAATCACCTGGAAGTTCTTGACATACTTACTTGACAAAATTTCAAAAGACATACAGTAACATCTTCCAAATATCACAATAAAAATAATGTCAATAAGGCAAATGTGATAAATTTAAAAAAAAAAAATACAGATAGATAGAATAGATCCAAATTTAATTTTGTCTGGATTCAATTTCCAGTCTTTTTACATATTTAAATTAGGTATAAACAAACATGTATGAGGGGTTGTTAAAAGTTTTCAACTTTTTCTACTTTGCCAAAATCTATATTTCAAAACTTGAATGTCAGAAAAATGATTTGAAGGAGCATGCTGGGCCAAAAACCATTCAGTACCCACCCCCTCCCACACACACAATTGTAAATTGAGCCAAAAACCTTTCAGTACCTCCCAATCAATTGTAATTCTATTTTCATAGGTTTATGCCCTATTTAACATGCATATAAATGATTTACAAATCTTAATATTTTTTTTTACAAGCTATATGCTTAATTCCAACAAATTATTATACCACTTCTAGGAGCCTGTAACAGAGCCACTTTGATATTCATCACTCCAGTTTCATGCATAGTGAATTCATTCAAATGTAAAAATAGTTATCTTAAATTAACAATGACTCAAGACAATATAAAAAAAGAAGAGTTGAAAGAAGTCACTAGTATTGTTGATCTGGTGATAGAAAAGTTCAAAATGGAATGTATTAAAGATTAAGATTATTACATTAAAGAGAAAGCACAGTTGAGTCTTTAAAAAAAAAAAAAAAAAAAAAAAATAAGACAGAAATAAATGACTTCATATTAAAGATTTTTCATAATTGCAATAGAGTAGGTTATTTTCTACTGGACTGGATTTATTATTTTTTATTTTAAACTTAGCACCTATCTTTGCAAAAATTACAACTATTCACAAAACTTTTAAGACTAAAGCAGATTTTGTATCATAAAATATACAAGATGAAAGGCCACACATTTAATAGAGGACATATCACAAAAATAATGTTGTGTGACCTTTAAGATACATATTCCAAGGAATATTGCATTTTGCATGCTATAAAATACAGTATTTGTTATGCTGCAAAAATACCATCACTAGATTAGTGCATGCATGTGTGTGTGTGTGTGTGTGTGTGTATATATATATATATATATATATATATGCGCGCATATGTGTGTGCAGGTAGTGTAATGGTTAGCAGCTCAGAATGAGGAATTGGTGAGCTGAATTTGAATTCCGGTCAAGTTCATTATATTCACTTTTGCACAAGTAGCCTTTGGAAAGGTATGAATCCATCTCTTCTTCTCCCCCAGCTATGGGCTAAATAGCAAGGCTCAATAGCCGTGGTTGGCAACCAGTCTAGGAGAAGGTCAACACTGAACTCTATAGCCCTGGCAGCGCATATACTATACAGCCATGGAAAGGATCATGGAGTCCACAATTAAGTGCAATATGGATTAGTGGGCTCTATGATTGTGACTGCGGTAAACTTATACTGTGGTGTGTGTATACATATGATTCAAACCAGCCTAGAAAGGATTGGCAAAGGGCAGATGAGCTTCTTATAGGAGTCAACAGGCAGCTAGAAGATGGAAAACTTCTATTCAAAAAGCCTGCAATTGTAGCATCATCTAACATGTGGCACACAGTGCACCAACCAGTACAGGATATGGTGCCATAACGGAGAGAGTGGGCACTGCAGGGCACAGGTAACAGACCTCTTTAAACAATTCACTTGTGCAGGTTGTTCAGTAAAAACTTTACTGAACCCTCATCTCATCCATTGTTCTAGATAGAAGCCATCCATCCATCCATATATATGTATGTATGTATGCGATATAATCTGATACAATATTTTTAGTTAAACCTTGTAGTTATTTTCTGCATATTCAGTAAAACATTGCTTTATCTGTTTATCTTTCATTACCAACCAAAAGCAGTAAAGATAATGTGCCAATAAATATTAGACAGCAAAATACACAATTAATAGAAATTGATAACTCATTTTTATTGCGCAATTACAAAATATAGATATGATCAATTTATCAACATAGTGCCACATTTAAAACATTTATGCAATGTTAAAGAAAAAATTTGAAATCATTTAAAAAGAAAAGGTTAAAAATAGTAGATAATTGTCATTTAAGCAATCTACAGACCTTACTCTATCCATATATAACTTTAAATATATCATAATGCATTTAGTTTAACTTAAGAATTATCAAATTCAGTTGTATTAGAGAATTTTTAAATACTTCTGCATTGCTTATTAATTTTAGATGTTATTTAACAATTAATGAAAATGTCTAAGAGATCTTTACACAAACTTATAAATCAAAGTACTAATGTCAGAAGTACTTCATTATTTTCCACAAACCTTAAACAACAAAAATAGTGAAAGCAATACTCACTAGTTGTGAGATCACAATAACAATAATAAAATCATACATGTATAAAACAAAGAGATTACAGATTTTCTGCAAGTGAGAGAAATATCTATGCTTTAGTTTACAGCCAAGCTAACTTGAGCAGTCAGCAAATACATGACCAAAGTATTATGAACTGGATAATAGCATGATGTTGACTAAACATGATGGAGAGCTCTGTGTCAAGAAATGCCATTAATGCTTTATCATAGATATTTATGAAAAGTTTTATATTTACAAAGCAAGTGAAGGTTACCATGAATGGTTAATCCTGTGAATGAAGTATTTTTGGTTGCTGGAACATTGCTGGCGGTAAAGGAATACAATGAGTTGCTGCAAAATCAATCATGTATTTGCTTGCTATATACCTAGTCATTATTTTTTTAACTTCTTCACTTAGTTCTTTGCCTTCTCGAATTGGAAAAGGCATGGACAGTGCTTTCAAATAAGCTTGGCAATCGACATTTGGATCTTCTTCAAAGACAAAATCCAAGACATCTTTAAAATCAGTCCTACTTCTCTGCTGCAACTGCTTCTCTTCACTGGTAAAACTCAGCCACTCCTGTAAAGCATCACAGTCAATTATGTTGGGATACCGATGCAACAAAAGATGAGTCAAAAGATTGTTGCCACGATTGCTTATCAAGTCTCCTTGGGAGTTGGTAGTAATCACTTCATCAAGAGTTCTTCGAATCAGCAAAACAGGTCCACTATAGTGGACTAATTGCTCAGCAATATTCAGGTTCATGAATTGACGCACACACAGACGTACAAATTTATCCATGAAAGCTGGTAAACGTGTCACAGCAAGTGGAAGAAGATGATCAAATGATGCATCAATGATCAGAGCTTTAAGATCAGGATATGCCATTCCAGCCCAGGTAGCAACATAACCTCCAATAGACCAAGAATAAATAATAATATTTTGTGGTAAAAACTGAAGACCTCTTATGGCATACTGTATTACAGCATCCATTGCATGTTGTTCTACAACTGGACTTGGATAACCACTGCTCTCACCAAATCCTGGATGGTTCCATCCTAAGACGGAGTACCCTTTTTCACATGGTGTACATATAATACCTATTTCATAATAGCCGCAGTTGCCTTCGCAGCAAATGACTAACGTACTACCATTCTGAGTTTTGTTTCTATTATCAATGAATATTGTATCAATGCCGTTATTGTCAACTGTCTTCACCCGTGCACGTACGGCTCCATCGTCTTCCACTAACTTCGCTCTGTAAGAAATAAGTGTTGCTCGATTCATTCTATTTACTAACCAAGTAGCCCCGGGGTAGACCAGAGCACGGCCGATAAAATTGAAAAATACATATCCCATAAGTAGCATCGGAAAATGTAATATCTTTTGAACAATAGTGACATTCGTTTCTGTGGATTCACTCAAGGTCAGTTTATTTAAGTTGCCAGTATTGGATCTTTTCACACCGGTCTGGGATGTGTCGAAATCGTAGGGACGAGCCCACTGTTCGAAGTCATAGCAATTTAACATCCTTAAATTAGAAGGAGTCGGGTTTGCTGTAGCCAAGGTCAGATGCTGCTGAAATAATTTATAATCTGAATCCATATATCGTCCAAAGCCTCGGATGACCATAGCAAAAAGGTAGATAGCAGCTGCCCCAGACATGAAACGAACCACCACCACCATGTTGTTTGGGTTGGTGCAGTAGCCATGACGGTAAAGATATAGAATAATAAACGGCGAGGCCCATTTTGAGAAGCTGAACATGAACTGAGCAGAAGTGATGATTTGGTCACCGAGAGCTTCCAAACGCTTAATTTGGTGGTATTTCTCAGCTTCATTTGGGCGGCGTGTTCTGTATAGACGAGGACCGAGTATCGCTTGGACTATTGAAGACGCCATGATGTTTCTGGGAGCAGCGTAAAACCTGGAACTGTTTGTGTGACGAAATAAGAAGCGCTGGGGTTCCGACACCGACGACAAACGGATCTAAATGAAAAATAATAGTTTTCTTTTTTAATAAACAATAAGCGGTGTTAAAAATTCACAAATTAGTTTTTAATATGCAAATAAAATACTTACTTTTAAATAAAAAAAAAACGCATGCAATTTAGAACACAAAATAGCCCGACTTCCACTAACTACTAAATTTTTAAATTATTTTTTTTATTTTTAAACATTCAAGAACATGAAAATATTACAATTACATAACAAATTACCTTTAATTTAAAAAAAAAGAGAAAAACGGCTGATGTCTGGGTTGATTGATAAAGAAAGCGTCATTTTTTTTTTTTTAATAACAATACGATTATTTTTACCAACAAGCAACAAAAGACAGAAAATTAAATAATTAAAAAGACTAAAACTATTTAAAAACACAACTTTATGAACATGACAAAACCAGTAACAGCATTAGAAAATAAAACATATCTTGGATAATTTACAAAAGGGCATGGCAAGTTTAAACATGCATTGAATTGAGCAACAGATCACAACATTATGATAATCATTATTTTTTTTAAAAAAGATAAGAAGAGGGATCAACAAGGAAATAAAAAAAAATGACAACGGACAACATCTACGTAATTGTGTGGTGTGCGTGGGCATGCATTTACAATTACATTTACCTGCTGGTCATTTTGTAGGCTTCTGCCGGGGCTCAAAGGAGTCATTCTCTTTAAATTTTTTTTTTTTTTTTTTTTTTTAAAAACACTAATTAATAACTCACGTTTCCTTGTTGAAATGAAGTGACACAAAATTGTGCCCGACGATTCTAATACATGCGTACATTAAAAACGAAAGCAACCTGTTAAAAAGAAGTTAAATATCGTTTCTCAATTCAACAAATGCTAAAAATTAGTAAAGCAAATATTTCTTTTTTAAACTTTAAGCCAGTGAGACAGACGTTGCTACATAGCCGCACAAAAAAAACTAGATTTTCAAGTTTAATAATTTATTTCTATCCATTTTATAATCTAAATGGATAGGAGAAGTTTAAATAAATTCAAATAGTTTTAAGAAAATGTACAGTAATTATTAAAAGATATAATTTTTTTCGATTCCTTTTAGTTTAGTTTTAGTTTGTGTAGAAAAAATGCAGTTTCACTATCTCTCTAGTCTAACCTTGAAGTGATCGATTACAGAAATAACACAAAAAATATATAATTTTAGAAAACAATACAGGTAACTTTGATTATCCACCTTGATTCTTGGTAGATGTAAGCATCAAATTGGTTAGTATAAAATTATTAAATTATATAAACCTGCTTTTATCAGCAAGCCGCAAAAGCCACAACGAAGAACTGAAATGGCGCTGGACTGACCTTCTAAGGGAGACAAATTTGATTCTAAAATATCAAATTTATTCAAAAGTTACTTTTATTTTTACCTTTACTTCAACAGCAACAAAAGTGAAAGAACAACAACAATATAATACAAACTTTCAAATGCAATAGTTTATTAAGTTATCTGATACTGTACAATTTTAAAATATTACCATTCCTATTTAACAATTTTAAATTAAAGAAATTGACAAACAATTTCTCAACAATAGAGTGGCCTCCCTTAAATGAAAAAGAATGACAAAATCCACACTATTTTCAATTACAAAAAATACTGAATAAGTGAAAAAGAATGATTGTCATATTCATGAGCATATAACATTGAACTAGGGGCGTACAATAATCTAGTCACTAAAATATATTTAAAAATCTGAATGCGTGTTTTTAAAATGGTTCAGAGTTAAAGTAAAGAGATAGCAATATTTTGGCTTGTATCTGTAAGTTTTAATACACACACAAACACACACATACATATATATATATATATATATATATATATATATATATATATATATACATACACATACAATACAAGAAAGTATTTCTTTAATATATGAAACATAGATAAAGAAACTGAAAATGCAACTGGAGTCTTTAAGAATATTTATTTACATTAACTTTACCGGTTACACAGTTCTATGATGTCCAAAAGCTATGTTACTGGAGTCCAAGAATTCTTTCCATTTTATACAAATAAAGTGTTTCAGATTGCTATCTGTTTAAAATGCAGTCTGATAAGTTGATTATGATCATGTGATCACACATAGTAAATTTGGGCACCAACAATTGATTATCATAAAACCTTGTTGTCAAAAACTGGGAGTGTCCTGTTTCAGGGAGTGTTAATTACTTCAAGTGTCAGGAATTCTATTTTATTGAACCTTACTGGTAATATTTGGCCAAATGTTCAGTGTACAAGAATATTCTTCAATATACAAGAATTTATATGTACACATATAAAATTCTTGTACATTGAACTTTTTGAGATTGCCTCTAAGGTCTATTAAAATAGAATTCCTAACATTTTTTATAAACTTTAGATCTCTATAAAAAACGGACTAAATATAGCATGAATATATATATATATATATATATATATATATATATATATATAGAAGGAGGTGTTGAAACAAAATGGCTATTTTTGTAGTGATTTTATAACATATTTATGTTATAATTTTTAAATAAATAATTATATATATATATATATATTCAAGAAAGACATTCAGATTACTAACACAAAAACAGAAAATGTTTCATATCGAGAATATTTAACATTGAAAAGCATAAGGAAAAAATCAATTATTTTTAATAATATGTGGAAATCTCCGCTTTTACCTGAAGACGGTCGCGAGACCAGAAACACGTGTAGTAAAATTATGTAAAACAAAGCATAATATTTTTTTCTAAATAAATCCACATTACAACCAAAAACGTTTGTGGCACCTCTCTTCTCTTCTTTTTAATATACATACTTTTCTCTCATTGGAACCACTACAACCTCTTTCTTTTATATATATATATATATATAAAAGTGAACATTGAAGTAAACACTTAGAGGCGACAGGCTGTTTCATGCTAGACGCAATTGTTAAATGTTGACTTCAATGTTCACTTTTATATTTACACACGCTCTATCTCTGATATTGAGCACTTTATCCCATAAATATAGCACACCTTAAGAGTATATTTCTTCATATACATATATATATATATATATTTTTTCTAAATATATAGGAAGTATATAGAACGTTTATGATCCAAAAAAAGGCTTCAATTTAGACTTTAAGTCAAGGTATATAAGATACTATTTCAATAGTGTACAGAAGGTTTAGTAAATACAAGTATTTTCTGTTGTTAAGTTTCTTTATAAGTATTGTATTGTTCCAGATTCTTTTGTGGAAAGCAGAACATTACTGACAAACTAAAAATATCAATTTATGCTTTTAAGCTGAACCCAGGGATAACACTGAACATGTACATCTCATTTGACTATTTGTTCTCAAAATAAATGTAGATCATGGAAGCCATAACTCCATATTTCACAACAGTGAACAGATTTTTATATTTTTATCAAACTTGCAGAGTTGCTTTATTCCCAGAACTGAACTTAGTATCATTATTTATTTGTAATTTTCCCCACCATAAAAAAGTATTCTTTCATATTGGAGTGTTGCTTGAATTTCAATTTTGAAAAAATTAATTATTATCAATGTAAATTTTGTTTTTGAAATGAAAAGCTTCAATACTCCAAACATTTTTCCAGCAGGTTTTTTTTTATATATAGATAGATGGATATATGCATATCATATATACATGCATTCATATAAATTTACATATACATACACATATGTATATACACATACATAAATATATATATATTTGCTGATATCTCCTGATGAGTGGACAAAACAATTGTACAAAGGTTTGTCTATGAAACTCCAGAGTAGAGGTGCTGAATATAACATCATTTAGCTAAGTGACAAATTTTATATTTTTATTAATCATATATATATATATATATATATATATATATATATATATAATATAGTACATATGGTAGAAAGTCAACTCATGTCTGAGTATAACCAATTCTATGATTTTATTGTGTTGATTTCCTTACCACTGATCATGTTTCTAGTGACTTATTATTCCAGCAAGTGGCCTACACAGTAAGTCACAGGTTTTGCAAGCAAGCTTACACATACACACACACACATATATATATATATATATATATTTATATACTAGGTGTTTATTCCCATGGCAGTAACATTCTATGCCCAGCTGAACCCAGGGATAACACTGAACATGTGTCTCATTTGACTATTTGTTGTCAAAACAAATGTAGATCTTGGAAGCCATTTTTGAGAGCTCATGAATGCAACATTAATTATTAATGCTCAAAATCAAGTAGACAGCCCATAATACTCTGGGTGTATTTTGGCAGCAGTTTTTCATTTATGCAGCTTTGATAACCAATGAAAGTTCTTTAAGATTCTTTTTATTTAATTTTTCTAGTTTGGAATATTTTTCTGGTTTCTGGGGAAAATTTGAACATAAATTGTTCAATGTCTTTTGAGCATATTTGCCTTTCATAAACCATTGTCAAAGAGTTTTATCTTTGTATCATTCCATGCTTTGTATTGATAAGATTGTGTCTGTGTATGAATTTTGTTTTCTGTAGTAGTTTTTGAATTATGTCTTCACATGTCAGTGGGTATCATGCCACACTTTTTTCCAAGTTCCACACATCATATCATTTCCCTTACCCACCAAAGTATCAAGTCTTCACATGTCAGTTTATGGTATTATTTTTTTATTAGCTGCTAAATATATTTGGTATATTTCTAATTAGATTGAAAGAAAATGTATTGATATTCGGGTGTTTCTTTTCTATGGTTAAGGTTTCTAGTATTTGTATCTGTTTTTTTTTTTTTGCAGTTTATGATATAGTATTTTTGTTTTATTGCTCAGGATTAGCCGTTTTGTTGGTTGTGATATGAGATTTAATTGCGCTAAATTAATTTAATTTAGATAAATAGCAAGTTAACTGTCACAATAATGTAACAATTCTATAACCAATGTATGTATTGTTTGAATTACTATTATAGATATCTTTCAAGTGGGCAAGTAAATTCTTAGACTAAATATACTTGTATTATTTCAAACTATTGCTGATATAGATATTATTATAGACACAATGTTTCAATCATGTACCTTCTGCTCCTCATCAAGGGTAAGATGATAACACTAGTTCAAAATAATACAAGTGTATTAACAATTACTCCTCACTGAAATGAAATATTAAATTATAAAAAGTAGTAAAAATCACCATCATAACCAAATGCCAAAAAATGGTCATCATCAAGTGTTCATTGGTTGATATGGAATATCTGTTGATTATTGTGATATTTTGTCCCTGTGATGTCAATTATTGCTTGTTCCTACTGATTCAGTGTTTCACTACCTGGTCCAGGGATTGAACTCATGACCACTTGATGACAATAACACATGTATAATCAATATCCAGTATATTACCATCCCAAAAGACATTAATGGTGTTTTTTGGAGCTTTTATATTCAATGTCAGATTTTTTTTTTTTTATTTGCATTTAGTTATGATGGCAGTTTGTACTACTTTTTATAATTTAGTATTTCATTTTATAAATGAGTAATTGTCAATATATCTTTATTATTTCAAACTATTGTTCTCAACTTCCCCCTCATGATAACCAGATGGTACTTTGTTGAAAAGTTGTCTATAACATCTGTTTCAAGCATGGGCAATCTTTTTCGAACTGTGGGTCATATTACATTATAAGACAGACCTCACTACTAAAAAAAAATATATATATATATATATATATATATATATCATGGTAATTTTTCATTAAAGGTACTGCAGCCATTTTCCCAACAAAAGACCATGCATATAAGCATCTGTCTTAGAAATGGAGAAAAGTCATTTTTTTCTTTCTTTGGAGATTACTTCTATAATTAAAATAAACTGAAGTCTTGGTATATTATCACTGATGACAGAGAGCTTAACATACACTGCTGTATGTGATTTGTTTTTAACTTATACATTTGAGTATACAGTGAGATGTGTAAAAGAAGTATATTCTCTAGAGAAAAATAATTATCATTTGTGTTTCCTGTTTCTGAAGCAAAAGATGTTTACATGTATAATATTCCTTAGTGAAAATCACCAATACTTTAAAATGGTTAACATTATCTGTGACAGAAAGGGACAAAATTTTTAAAAAAAACTTTGTACTTAATAACTGTTTTATTTTTATGCATGAGATTGAACAAGTGAGAATGAAAGGAAACAAACATTTCAATAAATGTTATTTTCCTCATAAAATTAAGCATGCCATTCAGAAGGCCAATTGAGCCACAAGTGGCCTATGGGTCTGTATACCCATGACTAATCTATATCAACCAAGATGAGAATAGTTCAAAATGATATAAGTATGATGACAATTACTCATCTCTGAAATTAAACACTAAATCAAGATTAGCTCATTGAAGTTTTATTTCTTGTATCATTAGTGGTGATCATGTCAGAGGTTTTAGTTTTTTGTGGAAAGATTATATTGAATCAATTGCTAGGTTAGCAGCTACAAAATTTGGTTCTCTGCATCATGCTAGATAATTTTTCTTGCCAACATCTATCTTGCCCCTTTATAATTTTACAATTTGTCCATGCATTGAATATTGTTTTCATACCTGATTTAGTGCTTCTGCCATATATTTAGAGATTCTTGACAATATCCAAAGAATCTACAATGTTATGGATCCTGACCTGGCATCTTAGCTACAATCACTTTCACATCACCGTGACACAGCTTCCTTGTGCCTTTTCTGTTTTCTTGGTAATTGTTCTGATATGCTTTCCTCTTTAGTACTTCAACTTTATGAATTTAAGCACAGTACTAGATTGGGAGCTAGGTCTCATTATTTTACTGTTGAAATGGCTAGATGTAACTATGTTTTATGCTAACAGTTTCTTCTTTCGCACTTCTTGCTTGTGGAGCAACTCTCTTCCATTTTCTTGATTCCCAGTCAACTTTGATCTTCAAAAATTTAAATGCAATATCAATCATTATCTTCTGTCTTAATTCTTGTTCTCTATCCTTAATAGTATTTTTCTCATATTCTCTAACACTGTAACCCCTTGCATCTTAGTGGCTTTATTACCTTGCTTTGGGTGATTTAAAAAAAAAAAATATTACTTTTTGACTGAATACTGTAACATTTTGTTTATGAAAGACATCAGTAAAGTGCAGAATTTTAAAAAGAACATTTTGCTTTGGTTTAAAATTACTATTTCTTGAAATAACACACAAACATTGAGCAAAGAATATCAGACCTGATCCTATGGTTAACAATTGAATGAAAAGAGTTATATTTTGTACTTCAAATCTGAAACCAGCTGAGTAAAACTGTGCAATACAACTTGAGACTTTTTTTAATCATTTCATCCTAAGCAATGCAATAAAGCCACACAATGCAATGGGCTACTGAGAGCAAAAGAAAATGAAAAACATTAGGGAGAAAGGACAATAAAAGAACAGGATTTACATTCCAGCATTTTCTTTCATAAAAGAAATCCTATTTCGTTCAATATGAGTTAATGTCAAAATATCTCATATTAAAAGGTATAAATAGAAAAATAAAATGAAATTAAGTAACAAAATATGGAAAAAAAATCAAGTTTTAATGACTAATGAAATTGATAAGTTAATTTTAGAATTTTGCAACTTGAGATAGAAACAAAATCAACGTAATCAATTAATGCCATTTGAATAGTGTCTGATTCTTTTTTTTTTTTTTAACAAATACCAGTTGAAAAAATTATCACTTTATTTGAAATATTGGTAAAATTTAATTCTACTCATAAAATATTGACATAACAATTTTTGTGTTAACTATTAAGAGTACAAACCATAAAATGTAAAGGAAAAAATAAATATGGAAGATACTGTTTTGAGAATTTTTTTATTACCTTTAAGAATGTTTTTAAAAAAAAAGCCTAATATTCAGTTTATTGATGATAGAATGTAAACATAATGATGGAAAATTTTTAGGTTTTCATTGGTTCTGGAAGTTCCAAACATTTTCCTTGAAGTTCTAACTGAGCCCTGAAAATAAAAAAAGTAAAATAAATATAAACTTATTTATAAGTTTAAGCAGGTAAATTAATGTGATTATATGAGGATCACTCCAAATGTAATGCTTCACATTTTGTGTATTCACTTACAGCATCAAAAGTGGATATTAGTGGTATGGCAGTAGAAGTTGCAATCTAGCAAAATTACATCTGAGTACAAAATACATGTATCACTGAATACCCAATATATATATATATATATATATATATATATATATATATATATATATATACATACACACACACTTGGCAAACATTTATGGAGAACAAACAGTGGATTTGAGCATAGATGTGTTTAAGAAGTGAAAGTGATATGTGTTACAAGCTATATTCTAGGCAGCTCTATATAGGTGTCAATTGATAAAATAAAGAGTGCCTTGACCAGCTAATCCACACAAATTGGTAGATTACAACCATGAACTTGTGTAAGGAGTTGAATATCAGCTTCAATGAGTTGGGAACTATTTTGGCAACACTGGGATATCACAAAATTTGTGTTGGATGGATTCCACAGATGTTCACCAAAAAAAAAAAAAAAGATCACTGTCAGGAACTGCTGAACCACAATGTGGTTGAAGATGACAGTTTTCTGAACTGTATCATCACCAATAACAAGATATGGTGCCACGACTACAAGTTAGAATTAAGATGACAGTCCATGGAGTAGCAACATGCAAATTTACCCAAATCAAAGCAAAAGTTTAAGATTAAGCTATCAGTGAGAAAAATTATGTACATTGTCTTTTGGAATAGAAAGGTGTGATTTTCCTGGACTTCCTGGAATCTGGTCAACTATCCACAATGTTAAATTTTTCATATTCAAACCAGAGAAGAAAAAACAACCCTTTAGCTTGCAACATAACACAAGACCACATAGTAGTTTGAAAACCAGAGAAGCCATTAAAAATTTTAGTTAGACTGTCCTACTATATCCACTATATAGTTCAGATTTGGTACTTTCTGACTTTCAGCTGTTGTAACCAATGAAAAATGGACTATGCAGTCAACAATTCTCTTGACAATGATATTGTTATTACTAGTGTGAAAAAGTGGGTCATTTCTGATGGTGTCATTTTTTTTTATGAGTGCGGCATGCAGGCTTTCCATCATCGTTGGTGAAAATGCATAGCCAACAGAAGTGACTATATTGAAAATTGATGTTTGTGTGTATAAACACAAACTTATATATACTAGTGTAGCTGTGCTGGCAATTGTTAGATAGTTTTCAGAAAAAAAAAAAAAAAAAAAATTGAGATTCAATAAAACGGAGATAAAGAATTCACAACTAAAATATAGGCCAATGAACAGTTTAATTAATTCATTCCCTTTATATTTTTTTAGACATTCAATGGTATCTGAGATTCATTGATTATTCCTAGTATTATATAAACTGCTTTTTGCTTTTCGTGTTAAAAATGTTTGTGTTTAATATAGCAATAAAGTGGAAATATCACTTGAAAGAAAAAGATTAGCAACAGAATGACAAAGACAGCAATGATAAAGCCTATTTCAAGACAAAGTTGAAGCAAGACAATCATTTAATAGACAAAGGTATCTGAGTGCCTCTCATGAAAGGCTTGAATAAATAAGAGTGCAATCTAAGAAACATAGGAGTAAAGGAACTGATTAATTAAACTTTTGCTCGAGAATTAACACTGTCTAAATGCAGATAAATATTTTATTTGCACTATTAAAATGACTAAAGGAAGTAATCAGTCATAAATTTATTAACTTGATTTACCTCCCTTCCCACTACAGATGAGACAGGAAATATATAAATAAATACACTAATAATTATATGGTTTGAGATATGTGTGCCTTAAATATTCCACAACAAATATGAAAATTTTTGTTGAGTAATAAATGGTACAAGATAATTTTTTCTTGCACCAAGGTAACATAAGTAATCAGCATTTAAGTAACAATTGCAGACAGTGTTACTCAAGTAACTAACAAGTGAAAGTGCTTTAATGGTTTTAAAGAGATTCTTTATGTTGTCATGTGGTAATATACCTAAAAGATCACATATTACAAAAGAACCTTTTGGTCTTCAGTCCACTTATTTACCATTCCTGGTTACACCAATAAAGCAAAGAGAGATTAGACTGAGAAGGAGGCTGAGACTTCGAGGAGGATATGATTGAGAGATTGACTATTTTATAAGGTTCTAATTAAAAATAAAGAATAAACTGTAGTATATATCAAATGAAGACAACTGACCTGCTAAAAATTGCAGCATAAGTAAAAGATGAAAATGTTTCAATTTGGTTAATAGAATTTTAAAACTGGCCTCATTAAAATACAGATGTATTATACATTTTTAACACATAAATGTACAAAGTAGATAATATGCACTTGCAGGCATATCTACCTAATAGTACAAAACTATGAACCAATAAGTTGAAAATTATATTCCTCATGCTACATTGTCAAAAATTCACTTCTTTATTTCACATAATTTAAAAAGGTTAGCTATTTCCCAAATCAGTGTAGCCCCTGTGAAATCCCCCACACTCACAATTTATAGAAAGTTTGTTTTCTCATAAACCAAAAAATTACAATTTGCTGATTGAAAACCGTGAAGAAATGAGAAATGTTTAATTTGAGATTGTTGCTTTAAAAATGCCAGAGAAATTCATTAAAAGTTAAAAGCTTATAAAAGTATAAAGCATTCATTAATATCAACTCCAGACTAAATTAAAAAGAAACTTTTTTAAGTATGAAGGTGTGGCAAAAATGTTATTGGCACAATGCATTTCACAAAATCTGAGCAAATGACTAAATGCCATTTTCTTCTTTTTTTTTTTTTTTTTTGAAGGGCTCGTTTGTCAGATGGAAAATTTTTCAGCAACTCTTTGTAAATTTCCAATAAATATATCAAATCTAAATAAAAAAAATTGGCTGATAGGAATATTTTTTTAAAAGTTGTTTCAGATTTAAACCAGCCAGAAAAGAAGGGAAGTTGTCTATAATATCAACACAATCTTCAAGAACAATTTTAAATTGGCTGTACTTTTGTTGGCCTTTGGAGCTCAATAGGTTTCCAGACTATTGACCAATTCTATTGGTATATATTAGACACAAACTTCTAATACTCACACTTCCTTACAAATAAAATACAAGGAATCAGAAGTTGTCCTTGTTCAATATTCTATCACTAAATCCAGTTTCCAAACTATCCAATCAATTTCTTGTAATATTTCAATGTTTCAAATAAAATTTTTTGATTACACTGAAATATTCACTTGTCTTAAGTTTAGCGCAATGAAATTTTCATTCATTTATTTTAGTGAATAAATAAAATCCTAACAATTACCAAAGAAGTATATTTCTCTTACCTTTTACTGACAACTCACAAAATAATGCATCTATCTTGTCATCCCATAAGTTCTGTCCGAATTTTAACTTTTTGTTAAAATGAACAGAATTTAAAGAGTATTTTATAATGTCTAATGGAGCTGAACATTAGTTTTATGTTTAGATGCATTTAAACTGATCAAATTTTATTTCAGAGAACAATAAAATTAAATTTTGTTTGATTAAACCCTGCTAACATGGAAGTACCCAAGAATCATTTGAGGCACATAATGCTTTATGAGTTCAAGAAAGGAAACTCAGCAGCAGGCGGCTAGAAACATTCACTCAGTTTATGGGGAGGAATGTGTGAATGAAAGAACTTGCAGAAGATGGTTTGTAAAATTCAGAGGTGGAGATTTCACCCTTGAAGATGAAGATCGAACCAGACGTCCAGTTGAGTTTGATGAAAAGCTTCTTGAAGCAGCCCTTGAAGAAAATCCTGCTTTATCAGTTGAGGAATTGGCAGTGATTCTCAGTTCAAACCATACAACTGTTCATTGTCATCTTCAACAACTTGGAAAAGTTCCTAAACTTGGAAAATGGGTGCCTCATGAATTGTCTGAAAACAACCTCAAATCTCGAGTTGACATCTGCTTTTCTCTCCATTCTCGCCAACTTGTTTCATCTTTTTTGGATAGACTTGTGACTGGTGACGAAAAATGGATCTTTTATCGAATTGTTAAGCGTCGTAGACAGTGGCTTAGTAAAGGGGAAGGAACCCAACCACAGCCGAGAAGGGAACTTCATGGGCAAAAGGTTCTTCTTTCAATCTGGTGGGATCGCCAAGGAATAATTCACTTTGAATTCTTACCACCTAATGCAACAATTAATGCTCAAATATACTGTCAGCAATCAGAGCTTTTGAACCAAGCTTTGAGGAAAAAAAGACTTGCTCTAGTGAATTGAAAAGAGGTGATGTTTCATCAGGACAATGTGCAACCCCACACAGCAAGAATCATGTCACAAAAGATCGAAGAACTTGGTTGGGAGAAAATTCCTCATCCACCTTATTTTCCCAATCTTGCTCCTTCAGACTATCATTTGTTTTGTAGCTTACAGAATCATTTGGAAGAAACAGCTTTTGTAACACAGGAAGAGGTTAAAACTGACATTTGTGAGTTCTTCGAATCAAAGCCAAAAGAATTTTACAGTAATGGAATTAGTAAGCTTGTTAATAGATGGAAGGAAGTCATAGATAATCAGCGAAAATACATTGTTGATTGAATCTGTAATTAAATGTAACATTTGGTCACTTGTTTTCTTTATTCAAAATTCGGACAGAACTTATGGGATGACCTGATACAAATAGTGATTATTTACAGTAGCATTCCAACCCCAATAGTTCAAAGCTCCAAAGTCTTACCTCAGTTGTTTTGAAAAATCATCTTCCACATTATCATCATCCCAATTATCTTCCCAAACATTTACATCATTTTTCTCCTCTTCTGCTCCAGTCCAATCTTGAAGAAAAAAAAAAAAATAATTAAATTAAAACAGAGGAAATCAGTACAGAAAGTAAAATTTACTGACAATATTTTTACAGGTTCACTTCAAAATATTTTTTATTAAAAGTATTGGAGTATTTTGATGGAAAGATGAGAATAACAGTCAATGAAGCAAGAGTTAGGTTTTCATAATTTTAATCAATTTTCTTTAAATTTTCAATATTTTTTTGGTTTTCCAAATTAAGTTTGAATGCTGTAATTTGTTGAAGGAAAAACTGTTTTCCTTCAACAAATTACAACTTATGACCAAAGACCAAGCTTTGTAGAATCCATGCTATTATTAATAGAACACCATAAAATATAGTTCTGCTATGGAAATTCATGTGAACAAGTTTAAAATTCATCTTTATAGCTAAATATCCGACTGAAACTGACAGTTAATACTTTACAATCATCCATATCAAATTATAAATGATGTGAATGGCAAAAATTAACATTGAAACTTTAGTAATTCTTTTATTTTAAAGAAAATAAGGACAAATTATTGGCTAAAATTCTATAGTGATTTTTGTATCTTCTTTCTTTTCCAATGATTTTTAAAATTCTGTTTCCTTTTTTTTGAAAAGTAAAAACTAATTCTAAAAGATAATCATTTTAAAAAAAATTATCACATTATATTGAATAATTTCTTAATGTTAAAAAAAAAATTACTGGTAAAGATATTAATATAAGATTGACACAAATTGAATTTTATTTATAAATATAAAGTGATAATTCAGTATTAAGAAGAGACAAATTTTATTAGCAATTTTCTAGGATTTTCTGTAGTCTTATTTTTTTAAGCAGATAAAAATTAAGATAGATCAAAGTAAAGTCTAGTCAAAATTAATGATTGAAAATTCTTCAGCTACTAAAAATAAAATAGCGCAGATGGAATTTATTTAATAGTTTGCACTAAAAAAAATTTAAGCTTACTTTTAGTATTTAAATATCTATTTTTATCATAATATTAATACCATAACCCTATAGTAATTTTTGTAGATTAGCATCCCAGTTAGTAAACCATATATAAAATAAAAGCAATACCTACATATATCAAAATATATTCTGAAATTAAATCCATTTTTTTGCAAGGTTAAATTTAATGTTTTTTAAACGGTTAAAATAGCAAGTACCGCATCGTTTCCTTGCTATCAAATGTAATTTTCATCACACTTCATAATCAGTACAATCAATGAAAAACTGTTTTATAATTAAATATTATCACGTATAAAAATAAATGATTTTACAACTTTATTATCTCAATATACTGGTTTTAAGCAATGGTTTCCAATTTATACTAAGCATTCCAAATCATATAAATCAATTTCACTCAAGGTTCAATTTCCCCACTGAATAAGTAGAAAAATTCCTATTGTGATTCAGTTTCAAAAAGGTTATTAAAAATGTGATTAAGGTATACTAAAATTATATTAAAAATATATATCAATTAAATCTAAAGAAATTTTTTTTAAATTTTGTTTTTAATCATTTAACCCCTAGCAAGGTAATAAGGCAAGGGGCTTACGGTGTTTAAAAAATAGAAGAAAAAGAAGACTATTAAGAAGAGAGAAAATAAAAGAACAGGAATTAAGACAGAAGATAACAACTGACACTGCATTTAAATTTTTGAATCTATAGGTTATAAAGTGTACTATTTTCAGCAAACATAACTGAAATTAAATGAATATCCAGAATGTTTCAAATTAAACAAAACCATGAATATTTTCATATTATTCCATATCTTCTCTATTGGATATTATAGATTTTGAAGGTAGAAACTTTGGATCATTGTTTACCTTTACCAAAAGCATAAATTTTCAAGAAAATATTAACATTATTTTTGTGACTACTAAATTATCCTGCATGTAACTGTTTTAATCAAATTGTAAATACATTTTATCAGTATCTGGATATAATAAAATGTTTACATTTACAACTCTCTAAAATAATTTTGCAATTTCATCTTTGCTAACAAAAACACTGACAAATTATTTTCTTTTATCAACACAGAAATCAAATGCTTTAGAAGGAATATGAAAATAGATTAAGTTCCAATAAAAGACAGCAATACAATGTATTTAACAAAAATCAGTTCAAAGCTTCTTTTACGAGAAAAAGATGTGATTATATTCTGCTACTATTTCCATCAATCAACAGCCACAGGTAACACATTCAGAAAAATTCACAGGTGTTCCTTGATCAAATCTATTGATAAATCCCAAATATTAGATCTATATATCTTTGGTAGTTTTAAATTAGAGCATCTTGGAATTCTAACATATTTTAATAAATAAGGCTTTAAATGAACTCTTGACATTCATAGATCCAAGGATACTGCATGTACAAATTTGAAACTTAATAGGTGACAGTAGTTAATATTTACTGTAGATTACAAAAATATAAACAGCTTGGTCTTGTATACTTTTATTTTTAAAAGGTTCCGAAAAATGGCCCAAATGTAAAATGTATATCATTAAATATGTAATTAACATCTACTAACCCAGGAATTTATGAATTTTAGCAGTGTTTGAAACTGCATCTCACTTTTGGGGGTAAATCACCTTCAAACCAATGTGTTTTAAACTGAGTAGTTTAATGCAGAGTTTTTCAAACTGTGGCTTGCAACAAAAAAGAAAAAACAACAAACAAAAATATGCGAGTGAGAGCAAAGTGCAAAATATAAACAACTCTAAATGTTGCACAGCACTCATGATTGCTAGTTTTTTCAGTGAGGTAAGTTTGTAATATGTTAATTTTTAACTATATATATATATATATATATATATATATATATATATATATATATATAGTCTGTTCTCATTGAGTTTATGTATCTTGTTTTGGGTTATTTTCCACTAATGAGTTAAAAGGATATTTTATTACTATTACCTTTTACAACTACTGGGATTTACCTGATATGTGTGTAGCATTGTCTTCCTGTAAGAAAATCGATGTGGTAGCTCAAGTGCAAAGTAAAACAAACAAATCAAAAGTCCAAATATTGTAGATCCAGAGAAATGTTGCAATCACAAATTGTAGATCCAATGTCAAAAATCCCAATACACATAAATGGCTATAAATCCACCAAACTGTCTAACAGTTACATCCAAACAAAAGCCTGCTTGCCCTGAATTACACACTCACTGTTATTCAGAACACTGACTGCTTTTGGTAACAGAATAATTTCTTTTCATTGGTCGATGATTGTAACAAAAAAAAGTCACATGCATGCTTTCTTTCTTTTCCAATGTAGGATACACGCAACATGCTGTTGATTGGTTTGAAAAGGTAATTTGTCATTTTCTTTGCTACACTCCCCGCACTAGTTGCATGGTCCCAAATTAGACAGCCTGGAGCAGGCCTCTTTACTCTGGTGCTTCATCTTAATGGGATCAACTACATTAAGTGTGTTGGAGAGCCATCTCCAGAGGAGTCATCAGGTGTATCTGGAGTTTCCAGAACGCCCGCTTCTGTTGAAACATCAGATTCATAAAGCTCAATTACCCTATCACTTTAAGATGATAAATCATCATCAGGGTCACACATCGATGTACCAGAGTCTATGAAAAGGCAAAGATCCTTTACATACCAAGGCATCCTGTCAAACATTATTGTTTGTGGACTTACAATGTCCGTTACGTGACCCACTTGATACCTGGACATACACCAGCTGCAGGGAGTCTTCACCCATACTCTGTTCCCAACTCTGTATATGAAGTGATTCTTACAACAATCAGATGGTAATGTTGTACTAATTTCCTTCAACGTTGGTATTAGTGAATCATATTGGTGGATAAAGTGGTGGACAATGTGTCATTCTTCGGTGTGATATTATGACAGTACACTGCCTCCATTATCGAACAATGCTTTCTTGCTACAATTCTCTTCCCAATGAGATCTTTCAACTATGCCATTTCCTGCAGGAACATATGTGCAACAGAAATGAATTTGGATTCCCCAGTCATCCAAGAAATCTTTAAAGGACTTACCGTGTAATGCAGTGTTATTGTCAGTTAGGATATCTGATGGTGGACCTTGTTAAAAAAAATAGTTTCCAGCTGTTGGTTGAGACTTTATGAGTCTTGCTGAAGCAGACATCACCATATTGCAAACTGACTGAGGCCACAGTCAATCAATGTAGGGTTATGTTGTCCACTATAGTAGGTAATATTCATTCCCAAGTGAGTCCAGATTCAAGTCACACTTAAGTTGCCTCATGGCCAACGACTTGAGGTTGGGTCAATCAACTGGCATTTTCTGACCACTGCCCTGACAGTCACCTTGGATGTCATAGAATGAACTCGTCTCACAAAATACATCATCCGTCTGATATCAGGATGTTTACTCTGGCAATGTATGGCATTTATCTGGTCCAGTAGTAGAGCATCTGGTACTTCGTCATCCCAGCCAGATGTGATTAACAAATTTCTTGATTAACAGCTTTCTCCACAATGAGAATATGTTGTGTCGTGTTGGGACCTAATGGAATGTCATTCCTACACCTCTAATTAAGCGAGTCATTCTCTGACTTGACATGCAGACCCAGAACATAATCACTCTGGATCCTTGCAGGTCAGACCAAAAGCAACCAAGTGCACTTTCATGCGATCTGCTGAAGTCATACTCTAGTCAACGTAAATATCATTGACTGTCAGACTTCATTATGGCTGGTGCAACATTCCCCCAGAAACCCATTCATATCTTTGTCTCTTGAAGATCACAGTTTGAAAAGACTTGCAAATATGCACTTGTATATAAGACTATCAAAGGTAAAGGATGGTGACATTCGTTTTTTTTTGTTTGTTTTTTTTGCACCCCTTCCTCAGTTTCTGTGCACACACATCAGCATTGGCTGCATGTTCATCTAAGCATTCATGCAGTTACCAATAGTCTAATAATGGTCACATTACTTTTGTTTTTCTGTACCACCACCATCAACAGAATTAGACCTTTTGGGGAACCAAGTTCCTTTTCAGGATCAGGTTGCAACCAACCATTATCAAGCTAGGTCTGCAGCTCGCAGTTTTATTCTAACACCTTTTGGTATTGGGTACTCATGCATCCTCTTCTGCAAATTCTTCGGCGATTGACCACCTGACTATGATATCACTCATATCGTCATGTTCTGGATGAATTTGGCAAATTGGGTTCTATTTTAATGGTGACACAACGAGCCATCCCACACTTGGGAAATTGTACATTGCCGCACTCCATTCTTTGGAGTTCACCCAGCTTTTGAATAGATTCAAACCCAAGCAACAGGTTCATCCACTACCAAAACATCGATATCAAGGGGGGTTGTATTGTCCACGTCAAGCATGATGTTTCCGACTCTGCTGTATTTGAGGTTGTTACCATTTATGATAAGTATGTCCACCTCCCTCTCCCACCAAGATTGATAGATTGGCTCACTTGCGAGTGTCAGTGAGCAGCCCATGCCCACCAGTGCCACTCCCTTGATTCCATTCACATAAAAGTCAAAGACAGATAGCACCTCACTCACAACTCACTTGGGGAAAAAAACCAGCACTGACATCTTGTTCACTTCCTTCTTTTCCTGACACAATAAAGCAATGTGGCCTAATTCACGATACTGAAAGCAATGCATTGTTGCACATATCCTGCATGGCTGATGGGCATGTGCATCTTCTTATCAAACCAGGTAGTCCTTGGAAAGGCGATTCCACCTAGAGCATTGCATACCTTTCTAATGTTTAACATTTGGAAGTTTATCAGCTGTTAATACACAGCATCACATTTACTTTTTTTCTTTTAAATTATCGTTGATTTTATGTTTACTTTGTTGTCTAGTTCTAGAAAATTTCAGTTTGAACCCATTTTGTTATCCCACAAAATTAGGTACCACTATTATTCACTAAAAAAATGAGCATACATGATTAAAAAATGTCTTAAACGTAATAAAAATAAAGTTATATCATCAAAATCTTTATATTATTAATAAGAGAAAAGATCAAAGGATTTTTGATTATTAAATTATATTTTTTAATCATTTTTAGAACATTCAAAATTTTGTTTTCTTGCATTATTGGGTGATCATAAATTAGTATGGGAAAATTGGTCACCACGATAATAAAAAGAAAACAATACAATAGATTAACTAATTAATAATTAAAATGCTTCATTTAAGAAATTCAAACAATTGGAGTTTTTTTTATTATTTAGAAATCTGTTTTAGTTAAAAAGAGAAAAATTTTGCTGTTTATATTTGTGATTTGTTTTCTGAAATATTAACAGTACAAGTTAATAAAGTACAATAAAATAAAGTACAATAAAATAAACCATTTCTGTAGAGAAATCATCCGCCATTTATTGATCGAACATTGTTACAGTCAGTTCAATTTTATAAAATGAGTTTTTCCAGAAAATTAGACTTATTGCTTTTCTATTATTGATGGGAGTTTCCTTCCAAACCTTTTGTTTTTAGTTATGTGGAAAAATACACAACTAATTTTATCCTATTGTTAAAAACCAAGTTCGAATCCCAGTCAAATTAATTTTCCCTTGGGAAAGGTATGTAACAATCTTTTCTCTTACTAGCAATGAGTTGAATAGTAGGACACACTGGGTCCTTTAACCTTGGTTGGCAACCAGTCTACCACAGAAAGAAACAGTAACCTACTGTGGGAAAATCTTCTGCTTAGTCAGTCATAAATCAAAAGAGACATGATCACTCAAGAGTGTATCACATATGGCATTTAACTGGCTGAACATTAGGTAACATTTTTTTTTTGTTGGAAGTGTTCAAGTGACACTTTCTTTTTTTGCAATTCTGTAGCACCAGAGTCTAATGAAGATTTAAAGGATTTATTCATCTGAAGTTATTTAATCCCTGTTCTGATTAAATAGATGTGTGCAGATGATAGTTCAGACATTTAGATCAAATTGATTTTGCAACATTTACAAAGATGATTATGGGTAATGCCAAAATGGACAAAAATTTATGTAACTAAATTCGTCTTTCAAAGTAAAATAATGTTCTTATTAACTGCAGTGTGTGTGTGTGTATATATATATATATATATATATATATATATATATATATATATATATACTTCCACAGATTCGCTAAAAAACAAGCATTCCATGATGAAAAAATGCCCTAAATTTAATAAAAAAGTTTTGTCATCAAAATATTTATGTTAAAGAAATTTGAGATTATTAAATTATATTTTTTTATCCTTTACAGAACTCTTCTTCTTGTGTCAGTGGAGGGACCAAATATTAGTATAGGAAATTTTAATGGCTGTTTTTTTTGTGGTGAAAAAACATGTTAATTTGGAAATTCTTGCAAAAATCAAATTGCTGGAGTTTAATGAAATTAAATTACTTTAGAAACATTTTCTTTTTTTAGAAAATCTTGGTAAAAATATTTTTTTAACATCTGTTACACTTATTTAATTTTATGAAATTCATTTATTGTAGCACTTAATGTATATATTAACTATAAAGACAAGTCCTTAGTGAATTTAGATCAAATTTTTTGTCAAACAGAACTTCCATTTACAGAAAATCTGCTCTGAATCATAAAATAAAAAATGCAATAAAACTAAAGACATTATTTAATTTGAATGGCTTTTAATTGCTTTTATGAATAAATCATATTATGAACACTATTGTCTTAAGAAAAATTTTTTCAATCAATAATGAATTTTTACAAGAATTGTTTTCATTTTTTTTTTAATTATAATTTATAAATTTTAAATCTTTTAAAATTCTGTATTAATTTGTAGGTACATGTTAAGTAAAATATATATATATTAAGTGTATTATTTGTAAGTAAGATTATAATGCCAAAGTACCTAAAATTCAATAAAATATTAGAATATTTTCCTAAATTTTAAAGATTACTATGTAGTTAAAAGTTTATATAAAAAAGGCATCTACATTGTATTTCTCAAATAATTTTTAGTTATCTGCCCGTTATTTATAAATGTCAACCATTTAAGCTATCAATAAATTTGTCAACACCTCATAAAAGCACCACTTCTGTGTTAAAAAAATTTTCAGAAATATTTTAAACTAAAAGTAAATAATATTTGTTTTCAGATTAATTAAACTTTAAATCAGTTAATCTTCCTCAAATAAAGTTACATAAAAGTATATTTTATTTTTGAAAGAATTATGTTGTGTTCAGATTTGTCAATATGGCTGATTTTAGCATATATATATATATATATATATATATATATATATATATAATTTCAGTCAACTTAAATTGGTTTGAAATGCAGCAGAGTATATTGCTTATTGGAAATATTAAATTTAATCTATTAGCTTGAAATTAAAACTAAGGCTTCAAGAAGGATTTTGAATTTTGAAAATACTTTTTTAAACCTTAGATCGCTTTTTGTTTTGTTTTTTGGCTTTCCTACACAAAATAAGAAAGAATTTCAAAGTTTATTTGCAATAATGTGGTGTCATCCAACAATAGATGATTTTTATTTTAACTTAAACTTCTTAAGCTATATCAAGAACAATTCAGAATTGATTTAAAAATAAGTTTTGGAATACTTAAAAAAAATACCTTAATAGTGGGGGATACTTCAAAGTTTAATTAAATTATTTTGACTTTTTTGATGAAGAGACCTGTCACCTAATTCATTAACAAATAGATTTTTGCTATACAAAAAAATTAAGATCAATATTTTGGAAAAAAAACTTATAGAAATGTTTTGAGAAATATTAAAGTATTTCACGCAGGACATTATAAGAATAAAGAATTTAATTAATAATGATTTTTGTTGTTTAACCTTTTGTTTCGAAACATCACAAAATTTTAAAAAATAATAATTTGATTAGCGAACTGGAGGAATAAAGAAAACAGCATGCGATGAAAGTTTTCTTCCTTCCTCCAAATTAACTTATAAGAAATACAACTAATATATTAGTCATATCTATTTTGTACCTTCGGCTGGAAATTCTTCGAATTCATCGTCTTCTTCAAGAATCCCTAAATCGGGTTTTGTCTGTGTATTTGATGACATTATCGACTGAGAAAAGCACGCGTATTTCGTAAAACACAACGGCAAAATGAATGACTCTACAGATTTCTAGTCATTCTTATTTTCGCACTATATTCAAATTTATATTTATTTTCTTCAGTATTTAATTATCATTCTAATTAAATAAAAATTAAAAGTAAAATTTGAAGTACTTATTTTTAGAGTTTTAAGTTTACTTTAAGGAAAAAGTAACAATTAAAACAACACAGCTCATAAACAATTTGTGTGTTTTTATTTATCTTTCTGGTTAGTTTCGTAAAAATAGCTGCTATAAGAAATTCAATTACGCAGCACTTATTTCGATTAACAGCGTTACTTAGAATGATTACGCCGGTACTTATGTAAATCTAAAATTCGTCCTGATAGTCAATAATATAAGTGAGAAAATGCTATAAAAAAAGATTGGTGATTATTTATGGATAATTTAATTTGTTTAAATAATGCCCTTACTATTTACGTCTCGTGGCAATAATTGTAAGTAAAATAATGCACAAAATAAGTAACCAAATAATCGTTTTAAGTTCTCAAAACATTAAAAAAATTTAAAAGAGGAACTTTTCTTTATTGTGCCATATCAATGTATGTCTGTCAGTAAGTATATTAATCACATTAAAATATCAACAGGAAAATACAGCCTAAATATAATTTAGGAAAAGAAAGGCTTTATTTTGAAGAAATCTCATTTTACTTGGAAATATTTTTTATTTTGTAACTAAATGTTTTGGATTAGCCAAAAAAATTTTTATTTAATTTAAGAAAAATGCCCAAATGTTCAAGTTGCCTGTTTTTTCTTGTAGGAAATTTTTTTTAGATGATAATGATGAGGACACACACAAGTAATTTTAACAAAACAAGATTAGAAATCTATTCATGAATTTACACACTTGAAGTAGTGTCAGTAGCTTGTTTCAGGAAATTAAATCAGAATTCTTAAAGTCCATAGTTTTAACATATTGTCATGAAGATGAAATGTTCAAACAACAGATTAAATGATCTGACACAAAATAATATTCAAAAATGTTAAGAAAAGAGTAAGAGAGTTTGTTACTCCCAGAAGGAATATATGGTTGCCTATGTTCAAAAGTAGACACAGAGAGATAGTCTGAAATACTTAGCTTTCTTGGATATTTGAGAGAAAATTCTTTGAAGTCCTACATGCTGTTTAAAGGCCGATAATATAATTAACAAATAATTTTACACTGATGAAAACTTCAATACAAATCATGAGGAACTGAAATGAAGCCTCTCACATGACTTCAAACACTCCACTTTTCTCAGGATAATTTAATTTTTCTCCTTATTTTATATCAAAAGGAATTTCTTGTAGGCTCACAAATTTGTTTCCTTCTTCTTGGTTGGTCAGCTAATAGCTGTGAAGACAATGTTTTCAATGGTCCAAGAACAATTTCACATATGCTCACAAATTCATTTCCTTCTTCTTATCTCACCAATCAATTTCTGTGAAGGCAAGGTTTTCATTGGTTCAAAGAAAATTTTACATATGCTCACAGATTTCTTTCCTTCTTCTTCAGTTCTCCAAATTAGAAGGGAGTGGGTGAAGGGGTTATTATTATTTTACACTCACTACAACTGAAATTTCATACAGATACATGCATGTATCAGCCGCATAATTCATAACTTTTAATGTTTTCTTTCTTTTATATGCATATTCATGTAATTTCTCTCCTTTGTTACTCAGTTATATAAAAACAAAAATATAAAATACTGCCTTGTTGAAATTTATTCTATTTCCTTACACTCATCATTTACAGGTGTAAATTTTGTTTGTCAGTGCTTTTATCCTAATTAGGAACAATGTTGCAACAGTTTAACCACCATGACACACTTTCAACATTCACCTAATTCAACATTATCAAATTAGTATTCCCTATGTTATTCTTATAGTTTACCATTGTTGTAATAATTATAAGTAGTTAATTAAAATAAATGCTAAAAATATTAATTGCAAAACCTTTTTTCTGGTTTTTAGCATAATATCCGATAAATGTATATTATTTCCAATCAAATATAACATTAAAATGTCAAATAATTTTCAAATTTTCAAACAGCCATTCTACAGAAGAATTTCATGGACAGAGCAATTAAAAAATGAGGAAGTCTTAAAGAAATGGCAACAAAAAATGCTTATGCTTAAAATTGCTAAGTGAAAGCGGAAATTCCATAATGAGGAAGGGGGGCTTGGCAAACAACTCTCACTGTGTACACTGATGGAAGGAGAGGTAGGGAAAGGCAGTGAGCGACCTACCTGACAAGCTTGTGTGAATGGATGAGAGAAGAGTGCCAGAAAACTTAGCAAGGAGAGAAAACTGATAAGGGATAGGAAGTTTTGGACAGCTGTGATTGCCTGTGTCATAAACATACATGAAACATAGAAGGAGATGAATTTTAAAATTATCTTTCTAAATTCATGTCAACAATGTGCCAGTATTAAAATTTCCAGCATGCTACATATATATATATATATATATATATATATATATATATATATATATATATATATATATGCATGTATGTATGTATGTATATATATATATAATTGTATATTTAGGCAGAAATCCTTCATTTATGCATTTTTCATTAAAACAACAGACAAGGTACTATGAATATATTTTAAATAAAAAAGCTTAATCATAGTACCTAGTCTGTCGTTTTTAATGAAACATATATATATATATATATATATATATATATATATATATATATATATAAGGCTGTTGACCTACTATTAATTTTATATATAGAGCTGTTGACCTATTAATTCAGTAATGTTTAAATGTCACCCCATGCTCTCTGTTCGGTGAATATAAAAATTTCATGACCTTCTTGAAGCTAATGCTGGTAGAATTTCTCCAGTTCTCATTGTTGATGAAATTTTTTTATCTCTCATTCTTTTTGTAGATTTCATGTCTTTTTATAGACAATTTTTAAAGAGTATTTTATGTTAACCAAATCAAAATAAATCATTTGAAGGGCTTGAAATACTCCAAAAGTACACTTAAAAGTTAATTCTGAGCCACTACTCTTGAATAGTAACTTTTTAACAATTTCTTACTATGAAATCAATACTGTTTGTACAATTGTTAAAAATTTACTATCAAGTGTAGTGCAGTTAATTATTTTTAATAACAATGTTGTTCTTTGATGACAAAATAAAAAAAAAATCGTGAAATATACCTTGTCTCTTGGATGGTGTGTGGGTGGTGTAATGTATATTGGCTGGCTTAGAATGAGAAATCAAAGAGCTAAATTCACATTCCAATTGGGAATTATATTCACATACACAAACACCCTTAGGAAATGCATCACTCCATCTCCTCCACCAATTATGGATTAAATAGTAGGAATTGTATCTGGAAAAATCATTGTTATTCTCAAAATAAAGTTAATACAATATTCACTCACAAAAAAATATATATATTCTTACAATTCAAAATATATTTCAGCTTTAAAGAACCTGCAAAGGGTTGATAAACTGTAAAAAAAAACAAATCAGTCAAACAAAATCTTGTATCCTGGGAATAACTTTTCTCTTACTATGAAGAATATAAAACCATAAGATGAAAAATAGGTATTTATAACATTTAAGTCATGAGAAATTTCCAAATGAATCTATATTATAAAAGAGCTGATTCTCTGTCCATCCCACACTGTCTATATGTGACTTTATATGCACATATGTAATGTACATGCATATGTCTGTGTCATCTGTAAATTCCATGGGTTTGTAAATATAATAACTGCTGTGTTGAAGAAAGAATGTGTATCACCCATTTTGTAATGAATATAGAGAACCTGCCATATGAATCAGCATGTGTAAAAGGCAAACTGCTGCCATTTCACTGAACAAACTGGCTAATATGTAAATAGAAGAGACAAAATATATGAAGTCTATCTTTGTAGCACCAGTTTTTCTGGAACCACAATACCAATGAGTACCAAAGAGCTTTGTTTGAATATGCAGTCTATGATACCATAATTCATGTTGATAGAATAGAAATGAGAGATAAAGTGAAAAGGAAGATTTATTTACGCTTTTACGTCAGGTTATATATAAAAATGATTAGAGAGTTCCTCTTGGGAGTCTACCACATACATAGGAGTTGGAATTGCATCATAATTGTAGAGAAAAATCACATGAGGAAAATACATGTGTATGAGCTTTATAATATTGCAAAAGTGGTTGTTTTCATCTCATCACAGCCTCAGCTGCTGCTCTTTACATTGAGTTCCTGATGCCTCTGTTGCAGTCTTCAGTCATCAATGTTGAGCTTCAGGGTCTTCAGGCAAAATAAACAAGGGACAGGCAAATGACAACTCTAGCTCAGATGAATCTTCTGCCATGTAGTCAAATTGATGGTGGTTTGTATAATGAAGCAGTGACTTGAAAATGTACTGTTGGTTGAAGCTACATCGATCTTTTCACATTGGTCAGAAAATAACTTTTATGACTTTTAATTTTTTGTTTTAGTCTCAGAAGCCTGTTTGTGTTATCTGAATGGTGGTTAGTCTCAGAAGGGAATGTGGGAACTAGTCTTAAAATTAAGCCTGTTTGCGTCATCTGAATGGTGGTTAGTCTCAGAAGGGAATGTGGGAACTAGTCTTAAAATTAAGCCTGTTTGCGTCATCTGAATGGTGGTTGGTGAGGTGAGAACTTCCATTTTTATTGAAGAGTGTGAGTTCTGATTATGATAGTTTAGTACATTTATAAATATGTAATAGTAAAATAATATATTGTAGTGAGTGTGAAGTAATAATAACTCTCTTCACCCACTCTCTTCAAATTCAGAGGACTGAGGAAGAAGAAGGAAAGAAATTTGCAAGCTTACATGAGATTTTCCTTTCACAGAAATTAACTGGTGAGTCGAGAAGAAGATAAGAAATTTGTGAGCTCATGTAAAATTGTTTTTGGACCAATAAAAACCTTGCCCTCACTGGAGTTAACTGGTGAGACAAGAAAAAAAAAGAAAAAAATAGCAAGCATACGCAAAATTCTTTTTGATATAAAATGAGGAGAAAAATTAAATTAATGAGAAGAGTGTCTGAAGTCATGTGAAAAGTTTCATTTCAGTTCATCATGACCAATGTTGAAGTTCTCGCCAGTGTAAAATTACTCAACAATTATAATTATTGACCTCTAACCAGCATGCAGTAATTCAAATAATTTTCTTTCAACAATCCAAGAAAGCTATTTCAAGCTATTTCTCTTACTTTTGAATGTATGCAAACCATATATTCCTTCAATGAGCAACAAAATCTCTTACCTTTGTCTTAAACATTTTTTAATATTATTTCATGTCAGATCATTTAATGTGTTGTTTGAATATTTCCCCTACATTAAAACTACAGACTTTATGAATTCTAATTTATTTTCTTGAAACAAGCTACTGACACTAAGCATGTAAATTTGTGAATAAATTCTTTATCTTGTTTTGCTAAAATTACCTGTGTGTTTCCTTGTTATTATGATTTTTCATTAATCTTCTTGGCATTGGTAAATTAACTGTTCATTTTAACTCCTAAGCCCCATAACACTATAATTTATAACAAATTAGTAAATAGTAATTTGGTATTTGTATTAATTCTGTGTTTATATTTTGGAAAGATAGGTTATATATTCTGTCAAATGAGCATTTTAAGGCAACAAATTCATATAGAAGTAATTCACTTTGTGACTTATGTCTTTACTTGATTGTCTATGAATTTATTAGAGAGAAGTGATTTTATTGTAGGAATAAATTCTTATCTTCACTTAAGAAGTACTTTCTATTAAGCTCATTGATAATGTTCATTAAAGGTTTTATTGGGCTCGTCTACTAGCCCAATCTTACCTTCTTTAAGTAATGCACTATTCCAACTTTCATTCGTAAATAAAGAGCTTCTGATTGGTTCATTTCTACCAATCAGGTCGCCTGCATATGCACTTCGAAGTTTTGGCGCAAAATCGTTCTGGAGCCACCCACGTGATCATGACCTCTTAAAAAGAACCCAAAGCACGTGTGACAGGCAGATGCAGACCTGGGCAGATCAGCAGCAGACCATTTTTTCGATTGCTCACTCAAGCTTAAAAATGTGACTATTCACGTCTCATGAATCGAGATGACAAATCTTTCCCGTTCAATATCTTCTACGAACTTCTTCGTCATTCAAGAATCTCAAACTATACATTCTCTTTGATCATCTATGATAAATCAGTCAGTCCAGCAAACACAGAGAAATGCTAATCTAATCCACGTCACTTGCAATTATAATTTTCCCGCGCAAGCGAAATCACAACTGACTCACTCACAAACTCGACTCGAAGATTACCCCGTGAATACAAGGAACTTCAACTCACAAGACTTTACTTATCCAAAGTGAATTATTAACACTCACTACAATTTAAGTAAATACTATTATTGAACATACTTAATATTTACAGTTAAGTGTAGACTACTTCTGAATGACTCAATTCTAAAAACATAATAACGATATTCTAAACACTAATTACACTTTTCTTAAAGACTGTAATACAAATACACAAAACACAAAAAGGACATACAAAATGTTCAGATACTACGAACATACCAACACAATAACATCTTGTAAAATATTTTGTATATAATATTTTTATTTATTGTTGTGGATGCAAGAGAAGATCACACAACCTGACATAAAAAATTCCTTCTGATTTATTTTAATACCATAGCAAAATTCTTAGTTCATTTTGCACATCCCCAACAGTTTTTTTCATTATATCAATAGAATTTTCTATAAACTTATTGTACCTTGTCAGAACCCCAATTCTTTAACTAAAACAAAAGTACTCACTTCAACATCCACAGATTATATTATAAAAAAAGACCTTAATTTTGTCTTACTTCATGCACCTATTTCTAGGAGAACATCCAAAACACCAGGGTCATAAAGTATCTGATCTGACCAAAAAGAAAAAACCCATATGGTTTTTGCAGCAACCATTTCGAACCCACTAATTCAATATAAAGTTAATACTGATTTCACCCACAATTCTTATTATTATTTAATAATTTAATAATTTAATAATAACTTAATAACTATAGATGTGTAAAATCTGAAACTTTGCAGATTAATAATTTGATACATGTTTTAAATGTGCAATTTTTATCTTTCTCCATAAGATAATTAAATTTAATTTTCAGTTGGTATCCACTCACTTATGATATATCTTATTAATAATTTTCAATAAAAAAAAATGTTTTTATTTTGTCTAAAATAGTTAAATTAATAAAATATGTGTTCTAATAATGTATCTGCTATAATTTGAATTTATCTAATTTGTTTTACCAAATCTTAATTTATATTGACTTTTAAAGTTTTTCTTCACAAACACTACAATATGTTTAAATGATTTAAGGCTGACTAAAGGTTTACAATATTCTTCATTCATCTACCCTGATGATGACTTAAGAAAGTTGAAAGATTAGACAATATTTCCTGCACTTTTCTTCCAAAATGAATCTTGGACAATTTCTGATGGAATTTCCTCTTAGTCTTATTCTATGTATTTAGACACAAAATGTCTGTGGGTTTTAATAGTATTTGCCTTAAAGACCATTTGCTGCTTATATACATAGAATATTCTTCATATAGATAAAACATGGTGTTATACTCCGCTTCAAATGAGATCTCTTTCTGATTCACTCTACACATCAGCTGGATGTAGATGCTAAGAAAGTAAAACTGAAAATAAAAAAAAAGTGATCCTCTGCACAGGGGTTCCAAGTATCACATTTGGCCCACAAAATAAATCCCCTCAAAAAAAATATAAAACACAACATAAGAGAAGCAAATCATGAACATTACTGCCAAAGAAAAAATATGAAAAAAAAGATGAGTCTGTAAGCCAACACATTTGCTTTCAGAAAGGCATCTCTAAACGACTATGTCAGATTTGTGGTGAACATCAAGCTTCACTAATCCACTACAGCCCTCTCTCAACTGACCGAACAAATGCATCAACTCCAGGCCTTACCAACTCTACCCTTCCTTCAAAGTCACCTCCCTCACCTACATTTAGAGATATTTCACTTGCATCTGTTGTAAATACAAAAGAATTTTGTATTTACAATTCTTAGCTTCTTTTCCTTTTACCTCACCTGTGGTACTGTTGTTTTGTTTGTCCTTCCATGCTACCCAGAGCCATCAAGGGTTTGTGCACACCCAAATTTATGATATGGGGCCCCACTCTACTATATCTCAATTTTCATAAAGTACCGTTTATATAAATTACAAATTTTATTGTAACCTAATTATGTACAATAATGGATCATATGCAATACAGATGAACAGTTCAACTAGAAAAATTGAAAATAAATGCAATGTATCTAAATACAAATTAAAGACATGTCATAATAGACAATTCCATCTTAAATAAATCAACAATATTTTGCAACCATTTTTAACATCAACTTGAGATTTTTCTTGTTAAAAAGTTGAATAATTTTAACACATTCAATATTATGGATCAAAAATAGTGGATTTTATATAGTGTTTATTTGTGATTTAGTGTAAGCAAAACAAATTCACAGATTTGAACAAAAAATCCCAGAATTACATCAAAATGCACAAAAAATTTTCATCCTATAATAGTTGTTTGTGCTTAGTTTAATTTATAACATATGTAAATGTAAGTAAAAAAAAGAAAATGTTGATAAGATAGCAAGGGTCACAAAGCATTGCACGGGGCCACCAATCAGACTTATATTCTAGCACCAGCTTTGGTGCTAGCATACACATGTTTATAGCAATGGTTAGAAAAAAATGAATAAGAGATTTTAGTTTTGAGGGCTGGACAAATGTGATAATTTATACACCAGCCAGATTTCCCATGCACATAATATATTCAAGGCTTCTTGCATGTAAATTTAATTAAATTTCTTTTGGCATACAAAAAATCTTATGCAGATATCTGCATTTTAATTTTGTCTTAGAGAAGTAAATCTCTAATATATTTATGAAAAACAAAACACACACAAAAAAAAAACTAAAATTAAAATTCTTAGTCATTTAGTATATATCTTTAATCTTCAAGGCTTAAGGCCACATCACGTTGAAACACTGGTTCCCATACAATCACCGAAGTTTAGCAATGTCGAGCCTGGTCAGTACCTAGATCAGTAACCACTTGAGGATACCAGGTGATGTAAGCTTGGATCTGTGGGTGGGGTAATGAATACTGGCTTGGAATTGTTAATAGTAGAACTGAGTTCCAATTCCCATTGGGTTTGTTAAATTCCCTTACATGCAAATACTCTTGGGATAGGTCTGAATCCACCTCTTCTTCCCCAGCTATGGGTTAATTGGTAAGATTTATGTCACAAAACCTTTACTATCTTAAAAATTTCTTACAATCTATAAATATTTTCAGGCTTTAAATAACCTGCAAAATGTTGATAAGCCATAGAAAATGAATGAATCAATCAATATTTAAGCTTTAAATAATATTACAATTATTTCAAATTTTAATCTTATTTTACAACACAAAATTAATTTTCATATTTAAAATTATATTTAGAGAAAAACTATTAACTATAAAATTGTTATGTGAAACTGAAATGAAAAAACTATAGATAAATAAAAATGTGTTTTTTTAATGACTAATATTTATTAAAGAAAATTGCAAATTTTTTTCTCTCTTTTGGATTTATTAAGTTTTAAAAAGTTATAATACATGATAATAACAAAAGTAAGTTGACACAATGAACTTTTAGGAAATAAACCCTATTTCCAACACACTTACATACACACATGCATTAAAACATGCCCAGACTTTATTTTCTACCCAATAATAGACAATATTTACAAATATATCAAAAAGATTCCACAATACAACATACATCATTTAAATCAAAATGTCAATTGGTTAGAAATTAACATCTCCATGTGAAATATTTGAGCAATCAGCAAAAACTAAACCCCTATTTCTTTTGAGCCTACTTTCAGGAAAATTTCTTTTAAAACCCACAAATTTTGATTTTCAGGGAACAGATATGCAACTATCTCCAAGTCAAAGAGAAGATATAATTACATAGCTTTTTTTCTCAAAGTGCATGCTGAAAGAAACATGTCGACGACTTCAAGTGAATCATCTCCACCAACAACACCATAGCTGGCCAGTTGGTGATTTCAAACAAACCATCTTCAAAAATGACAAGATAGTCAGTGAATCTTCACTAATAATAAAAGTTTTGTTTCAACCACAGCTTTGTCTGTGAACCAATTACTAAAAATCTTTTATAAACTATAGCTTTTTCTGTTTACCTACTACCCAAAGGCATTAACCCAACTAAAGACTATTTTTGCTCTTTTTTAGATCTTTTGAATTCATATACATATACTTTTAAATATAAATGACTTGCAATAGAGCCCGGCATTGCCCGGGGATGTAACAGTAAGAGATAGATCAAGTATCGACCATCATAAAGACTGAAAAATAAAATTGACAAAGATTATTGTTTAAGGTTGACGGACACGCATGTCTTAATTGGGTTTTTTTTTTTTTTTTTTCAAACCCAAATTCAAACAAAAACATTGTTTTCAATCATTATGAGTCTACCGATTGAATAGAATTTTATTATAAACAATTGTCTTGTAAATGGAATTTTTAAAGCATTCTGAATATAAAAATAAAGAAAAATGTGTGCAAGACAATAAGAAACACTACCTGTCAAAAAAAAGTAAAGTTTTGTTGAAATCGGTTGAAAAATGTAGGAAATCCGATCCCATATATAAACGAACATACACACACACACACACAAACAACCTGGGTTTTATAATAAGTACTCGATATGAGCTGTCCCCCTTTCATTCTCGCGACAGCAATGCCTCTTAATCATGTTTTCAAATTGATTTCGTGCAAAAACAATTGTGTTTTCCCAATTTTTGGCACTGTCAGAACCACCGCAAGGTACTTTTACATAGTCCTGTGAAGTTTTGTTGAAATCAGTTGAAAAATGTAGGAAATCCGATCCAATATTTAAACGAACACACACACACACACACACAACCTGGATTTTATAATAAGTATGATACAAATTATATTTGAATACAATTAAATTTCTACATAAAGTTAAAAATTAAATTTATATATTAGTTCATTGATAATATTTAAAATAAAGTTTAATATTTATGCAACATTATCACTGTAAAGACTAATAAGAATATATATAAATATTGTTTATTCATCCACAGATTTTTCTCAATTAATATTGGCATAGGGGTGTGTGGCTTTGGGGGCTTTCTTCAAACATTGATCTTCTTATGAGGATATGAGAGACTCTTTACCTTTTCCCACTTAAATGAGGTTCATATATATCTTTCTGTCATCTGGCTGCCCTGTATGTGCATATCATAAGCTCAGCCACTTGTTTACATGTCCGGTGGAGGACATGCTGGCATCCTGTGAGACATGAATCTACACCTGGTGACTATGAGGTTACCTTCCAGGCCAACTCTCTGATGTACTTGGCTCCTCTAATGCTCTAGTGTGATATAAGTGCACAATTTACTTAGGTATCTCTTAGGGTGAGCTTAGTTCATATTCATTAACTTCTCTCAGATGAAATTATTGATTCTTTATTCCTATCAGATTTTTATCAGATTCCTTATTGACATTAAATTTGATTCATACAACCTCGTATTTCCTGGCTTTAGTTATGTGCTATGAATATATGTTACTTGCTACATGGAAATAAAATAAATAATTATTTTATTTTAAGTAAATGCAAACACAAACATCCTTGATAATGGCTAATAGATTAGCCAAACGCACTCAAAATCAAGCATTCAGAAATCTTGAAAAGAGAGCATGGTCTGATCGTAACATCTTCTTAAGCACAAAGATTGACATCTATGAAGCAGACATCCTAACCACCCTTTTATATTCTTCTGAAAAATGGAACACCTATTGAAGGCACATTAAGTGCCTGAAATGAATCTTGAACATCAATTGGCAGTCTTGTACACCAGACACAAAAGTCCTTCAGCACAAACATAGCTAGCATAGAGAAATTACTTTTCCATAATCAAATGTACCAAACAGGCCATCTAACACATATGGAGAATGGCAGATTTCACAAAGACATTTTTATGGTGAGCTGGTTATTGACCCACTCATAAGCCAAAAAAAATGTTTCAGGGATGTAGTTAAATGTGACTCTTGGCTTTAATGTTGAAGACTAGGAAACTGTTACTGGAGATAGATCTGGCTGGAGAAGGTTGATTTGAGAATGCTGTAACAATTTTGAACAGAAGAGAGTAGAGCATTCAAACAACAACTTTAGGAAATGAGAAACAGAATCTGTCCCAGAGCTAATAGGACACTAACACACTTGCAGTATTTGTGGAAAAGTCACCCTTTCAGCAGCTGTTTTAGCCACATGAGATCATACCAGAGAGGCCAGATACAAGTTCCTATGAATACAGTTCTACCAGAAAGGTTACTTGTGTAAGTTTTGTGACAATGTTTGTAAGTTTGTTGCGGGACTCAAAAATCACATGATTGTACACAGGAAACAGGCAATTTTCCAACATAGGTAATACAGACAATCTTTATGTTTCCCACATGTGTAAGAGAGGTTGTAAAAGTGAATCTGGCCTTAAGAACGACTTATGGGCACATGAAAAAAAACCTACCAAGTGAAGAGATAGTCCTCTTCTGCAATCATCATCATGTATGAGTGTGTGTGTGTGTGCATGTGTATGTTAAGGTTAGCATGAAAATCAGTATGGCTTTATTTGTCTACTTATTCAAGCAAAAATCAAAAATTATCTTTGTCAGAATATGCTGTAATGAAGTATTATAATACATTATAAATAATAACACAAGACTGAATATCACATACATAACATTACATTTTATTCAACACTGGACTTTGTCAAATACTGTCAGTCAGTGTGTGTGGCTCCAAATCCTCATCTGAACATGGACCTTAAATTCTTTTGTACAATTCTGAGAGAGATTTCACTTTTCCTCTCTGTGGTGAATACTTATATATCTGCCCGGTATATGGTTCTGTAGTGACCTTAAACATAGTAGGGGTAGCAGCCCTAAATAAACCTTGTATCAGCAACAGCCCTAAGATATAAAAAAGTAACTGTCTTCCTGGTTTTCCCTCTTTTGAACTGGTGTCATGAACTTTTCACACTGAAGCTAAAAGGGCTGTGAATGCTTGGCACTAAAACACTATAACATATTCATGAACATTTTGTTGTGTATGCAATTTACTTCTAACAAAAGAAACTCTTGTTTTAAACTTTCCTTTTGTTAATTTTGTTTTAATAAATGTTATCTTGCATTGCAGGTCAATTGGTCTGTTATTTTTTGCATGTAATCTTTTCACCACCATTTTACATACTATAAAATGTTCCAATAAGAAACCTTATATATTTAATTATTGAAATAGCTAATCACTAAAGTTTTTTTCTCATGCTTGCAACCCAGATGCAATTGGCAGCTACGAGGTCACCTCAGGTAAAACCCTGCATCCAACTTCCTTGATTGTCTGGCATGACATTAAATGTAAAAGCTATTCTAGTGCCATCTAAGCTGGACCCAGTACATACTAATCAAATCCTAATGATATTACAGAAATTTTTTTTTTCATGGCTTTCAAAGTGAATAAACCTTTCTGGTCTGAATTTTGTTAGATAGGATGCTTTAATCATTGTATGTAATTTCTTTGAACTAATTTCCTCATCTTTGCTGTTTGTTTTTACCCAACATTTCAACTGTGTACCATCCAGGATTCTTCAGATATATGTGTTGTAGAATGTCGATGAATCTTACTTTGATGATGAATACACATTTCACATCAAGCTTTTACATCATTGTGTTATTGGAGCCATCTTTTCCAATCCTCTGCACTAAACTTCTGATCATTCATTGAACTTTGTGTCAATAGCATATTTATCCTAAGTTCATTGCATACTGCTTCTTATTTAGTGTTATCCACATGTCATTAATGTTGGTACTCTGGGTCATACAAGCAAAGTATATGAGTAAATTCCTTTAGTCTTCTTATTAACCACTGCTCCTCTCTGTCAAAAGCCCACATTCAACAAAGGTTGGTGTATCCAGTGATATGGCTGACTATGCCATTATCCTCAGATTGTGATATAAGTAACTTTCTAAAGTTGAGAGAAGTTTG